GTCAGACTCTTACTGACTAAAAACCACCCCGTTCCTTCTCCTGCACGTCGAGCCGGAGCCCCGGTTACCCGTTAGGTTCTCCGCGACTCCGAATCGGCATCGGCCCTATTGGGCCCCATCTGTGGTGGTCTGATGGCTGTTTGAGGCGCGCGCGGTATATACTTACTTAAACCCTTATATAAATATATAAATACTTAAACCCTAAGGTTGGCTGGTAGAGAATGCCATATGGCATTAAGTTCGCCTTATGTACCATAATAAAATTTTGTACATACATAAAAGAATAAATAAATAATACTCAATACACATAGTAGTTGCTCATACTCTAAGAATTAGTCTCAATTCCAATGTAACTAATACAGATATCTTATGGTATTGAAACATTTAGTTTTTTATTTTATTTTAGAAAGACTTCATCAAATATTTTTATTTGTATAGTAGCATGATTTCAAATTGTAGGTGTATATATACGGGCACCATGTTTGAAACAATTATTCATAGCTTTTTATTTTATTTCAGTAGTTAATTCAGTAGTCCTATTTGTAACAGTTTAGGTATAGATGTTTTCTTTGTATTTGTGTGCCTATTTTAACGATTTTTAACTTATAACTAGGAATTATAAGCCGTGGTTTCTGGGTACTCTTAGAAAGTACATATAACTCGGAAAAACTCACATTGGTACTAGCCGTTGGTAGGTTTCAAACCCGCGCTCTAATGCACGAGATGCGTCTTATACCTCCGGGCTACCACGACTTTATAAAACACTCTAAAACTCAAACAAAAGTTCTTAGCTGAATAACACATTAAAGGGAACTTTCCGGTTGAGTTAACTAATGATAAGGGATTCTCGCCTCTCTAGTCAAGCGGTACTGAGCGATTTATTGCAACAAGGCTCAAGGAAGTAAGTATGGTGCCTTTAAAGGCTATTATACGATCCATTACTATTTCTTGGTGTCCTTTTAATAAGGACAAGGTTTTATAGTTGCAAATAGATGTTGTTTTTAAATATATTGTTATGCATTCTAGTAGTTTGAACTGTATCAGTTTTCTTTTAACAAAATCGATTCATTTTATTTATATCTATACTAATATTATAAAGAGGAAAGATTTGTACCCATTTTTGTATGTTTGTAATGAATAGGCTCAAAAAGTACTGGGCCGATTTAAAGAATTCTTTCGCCAATAGAATGCTACATTCTTCCAATTTGACATAGGCTACATTTCATTTTGAAAAAAAATTAGGGATCCTTGGTAAAATCTGAACAATGTAACCGAAGGTGTAGAAAAATGAGTCATAGAATGTCTTTCGTCGAATGCGCTGCCGAAACTATTAGCGATAGAACAAAATAATGTGCAACAATATTGAAGAACATCATAATGTCTACAAAAAACCCCGCTGTAGCATATGTCCAACTATTATAGTTATGTCACTACAACAATCCAAATTTCCAAAAATGAATAATTGTCTACCCCGTGCGAAGCCGGGACGGGCTGCTAGTGTAAAATATATTAATAGATGTTGAAATGATAGTTTCAAATTTCTAACATGTTTATAAAATAATACAAATAATATAATAATATTAATAACTACACGTCGAGTTTGATTCACTCGAAATTTAAGTGTGGGAGAGCCATGCTTCTGCACGAATGGGCCGGCTCGACCGGAGTGATACCACGGCCGAGCAGAAAACCGACGTAAAACTGCTAGCGTTGTGTTTCGTTGTGAGTGAGGTTACCGGAGGCCCAATTATCTCTCCCCGCTTCCCCAATCTTCCCAGTCCCTGAATCTCTAACACTTCTCAAATTCCTAATCCCCAAAAGGCCGGTAACGCACTTGTAACGCTTGTGGTGTTCCAGATGTCTATGGGCGGCGCCGAGTGCTTACCATCAAGTGATCCGTCCGCTCGTTTACCGGCTTATACCTACTATAAAAAACCGAGTATTCATTTGTAGAAAGTGGCAACAAAGTAAATATGTTTAGTAATACAGTAAAAATCAACAATTATATAAAAATATACACATTATGTAGGTTCGTATACACAAACCATGATTGCCACGGACATGGATAATTCTTTAACTTTCATCACAATCATGCATCTAAAGACTTGACTCCGATAACAAAATCAATTTTTTTGATCGAATGTTGATTAATAATTAAAATAGCCGATTCGATTTTGAATTTACCAGTACTTTGCTCCGTACCCACGCTTGTCAGACGAGGCTTTCGATCATGCATAAAAAGCCACGTAGATGTTGCAAAATGATATATTTCTAACATAATTATACTAGTTTACCTTGCCACACATTGCGCAGCCTACAGCATAGAAAAATTACGAAATTTCAAAAGTTTTTTGTTGCAAATGTTTTAATTTTGAGCAAAATTGCAACACTTCGAAGTGTCTTATGCGAAACTTTGTCTGTTCATGGTCAAGAAACTAGGTTGTGGGGAAATGGCATTCGGATTTGCAGATCGCTTTAAATACTGAGAAAAGATACAACGGAATGCGTTTTTTTTACATTGTATACTGATACCTATATACGAAATATAATTATGTACTTTTATTCTTTATTATTATTACTAGCTACATCCGCGTGGTTTCACATGCTCTGCTAAGCTCCTATTGGTCGTAGCGTGATGTTTTATAGCCTATAGCCATCCTCGATAAATGTGCTACCCAACACAAAATAATAAGACACTAAACAATAAGAACTAACATTTGTATTAACACAAGCAAATCCGCAATAAATATAATATAACTACCGACCCGCCCCGGCTTCGTACTGATGCAATATGTATGTATAATCATATAAACCTTCCTTAAGAATCACTCTATCTATTTAAAAACCGCATCAAAATCTGTTGCGTAGTTTTAAAGATCTAAGCATACATAGGGACAGACAGACGACGGATAGCGACGTCGTCATCAACAAGAACCGACCTTTCTCAACCCGGATATGGAATGGAGTATTTATACCTATGTAATAAATATTGCCTAGATCAATGTGCTAATTATATGGACCTTGGCCAGTATGGTTCAATGTATGAACAAATCATTAATCTATCGATGATGAGGAATAGTCAAATCATGACGACTAAATTGCTTTAATATTTCCCTAATGTCCATGAATTTGTTTTTTTTATAGCATAAGCCGATGAACTAGCAGACGGATCACCTGATGGTAAGCAATCGGCGTCGCCCATGGACACCTGAAACACCAATGCGTTACAAGTGCATTACCGGCCTTTTGGGAATTGGGAATTTAAGGATTGTGGAGGATTCGGGGATTCGGGAGACTAGGGAGGGGGGTAATCGGGCCTCCGGTAACCTCACTCACACGACGAAACACAACGCAAGCGTAGTTTCACGTCGGTTTTCAGTGAGGCTGTGGTATCACTCCGGTCGAGCCGGCCCATCTCTCATATAAAATTCATAGAAAACTGTCGTTTTTGACAGTTTGAAAAAGTAGTGAATTTGACTAGTTGGCAGGTACCCAATTAGAATATACAATCGATAAGCCTTTATCTGCTTTGTTGGTGTGTATTAAGCCTATGTCATTCTCCGTATTAATAAGTTCGACTGAAAAACTTCAAATCGATTAGGTGAGTACTTAGATAAAACGTAAAAATGTAAAAAATAAAGTTTATGTTATCAGGTAAATTAAGCATTAGACTGTCCCATTGGAGGTCAAGGCCTTACAATATTGTTTTAGACTTAATACTTATTTTTTTTTTAATCTTTACCAGTAAGATATAAGCTCTAAATAAGTTCATTTTTAAATGTTTACTGGTACATACTCTATACTCAGTTGCATAGCAACATGTAAAAGGTGAATATTATCTGAACTTCACAATAGCTCGATAAGTTTCGTAATCAAAACATACACAATGACGCTATGCTCGACCATGGGATCCGGTACACTGACCTTTGAAGGCTTACGATCAACACAAACAAAGGTTGTGTCAATAAGATACTGTACAATATGTCTCTCGATACATGATTGTTACCATTCTAGATCACCTCCTACCAGCAATAACCCATGTCATCAACTTTTCCCTTTATTCCGGTACTTTCCCTTCCCTCTGGCGTAGAGCCTTTGTCCGTCCGCTCCCTAAAGCCTCTGCTCCCACCCTTCCCTCTCAATTTCGTCCAATATCCATACTCCCATTCCTGTCCAAGGTGCTCGAGGCCTGTGTTCATAAACAGCTTTCTAATTACATATATCGGAATTCACTGATTAGTCCTCTGCAGTCTGGTTTCAGACCTGGCCACAGTACTACTTCCGCCCTCCTAAAAGTGACTGGCGATATTAGAACCGGCTTTGAGGATGCTAAAGCCACAGTCCTGGTTTTGGTTGACTTCTCGAATGCCTTCAATATGGTCAGTCACGACATCCTGTTGGCTATCCTATCCCACCTTATGGTCTCTGGCGAGTCACTGGAGTGGTTCTCTTCTTATCTTCGGGAGCGTCAGCAGGCGGTCAAGCACGGTGATAATTCATCTAACTGGCGCGAATTAAAGGCTGGCGTTCCTCAAGGCGGTATACTGTCACCTCTCTTATTTTCCATCTTTATTAATCTCATCACTTCCGAGCTTCGGTGTGCGTACCATCTATATGCGGATGACTTGCAGCTTTACTGTCAGACCAGCTATGACAGATTGCCGGATGCCATCTCAAAAATTAACAACGACTTATCCGCTATTAATAATTGGTCGGTAAGGTTCGGCATTGCGGTAAACCCCAAGAAGTGTCAGGCGATTGTGATAGGAAGTTCTCGTTCTCTGAGTAAGGTTGACGTTGCATCTCTACCCGCTGTCCTTTACGACGGTGCGATCGTTCCGTTTACTAGTGACGTCAAGGACCTCGGTTTACATATTGACAGCAATCTTAACTGGCATGCACAAGTCATTAGTGTAAGCAAAAAGGTGACTGGATCGCTGCGGGCTCTTTATCGCGTTAAAAACTTGCTTCCGTCCGACACCAAGGCAATGCTGGTACAGGCCCTGTTGTTCCCTATTATAGATTATGCTGATGTGTGTTATTATGACCTGAATGCAGATCTCCTCAATAAACTTGACCGACTTCTGAATAACTGCATTCGATTCGTTTTCAACCTGCGTAAATATGATCATGTTTCTGCATACCGATTGCAATTAAAGTGGTTGCCCATACGACAGCGCAGGGAACTAAGGGCGCTAACCACTCTTTTCTCTGTTCTTGACTCGCCTCATTCGCCTCATTATCTGTCCTTACACTTCCAATATACATGCGCAAACCACAGCAAATATCTTCGCTCTTCTAATAATCGCCTCCTCCAATGTCCAACACATCGTACTAAATTTCTTCATTCCTCCTTTTTTGTTCAGTCTATTCTTCTGTGGAATGCGCTCCCTCCCGATATCAGGATGGTGCCCAGTCGTTTGTCATTCAAGCGGAAAGTGCGGGAGCTACTTTTGAGGAGGTTGGCAGAATCGTAACTATCAATATACTATGTATAATTATGTTACGTCTAAGTAGTATATGTAATACAATTGTGTAAGTTTATTGTTATGACATAATATACATGTAAGTTTATATAGGGATTTATTTTATGTAAGTCTATACTATCCGTTTTTCTATGTATTTCTGTTAAGTTTTAAATACGCTTGCTTCTTGCATCGACCATTGTTTTTGTCTCTGCATCACCCAAAGGTCTGGCTGGAGGAGAATGCCCTAGGCATTAAGCCCACCTTGTACATAAGTTTGTGCATGAAGTCTTTTAAAATAAATAAATAAAATATTGGTTACGATTATTTGAACTATTTTCAAGTGGATTTGCTCTATTGATCATGGCGTCCAAGTTTTTTTTTTTTTTGGAGGCGGGAAAATCATCCAATGACTTCTCCCACCCGGGTGAGGCGGGAGGGAGTGTCAGACTCTTACTGACTAAAAACCACCCCGTTCCTACTCCTGCACTTCGAGCCGGAGCCCCGGCAACCCGTTAAGTCTTCCGCGGCTCCATGGCGTCCATGCCTACATACCTACATGATTATATGAATATTTTTTTCTATTTTTTTTTATAAAATTTACATTTATAGATATTATGAGATAATTAATATATACAACTAAAAATATAAATAATTTAAAACTAAAATATTTACACCTTAAAAAATAAAATAAATAAAAATAAATAAATATGAATAATATAATTGTAAATTATTGTTTTCTTCTAGGACAAGCCTGCCACAATCTCCCAAAACTGCTACAACTTTTGTTAACCAAGATCTTCAGTAGACAGACGGAAGGACAAATAATTTTTTTACGTTTCAAAAGTGTCTAATTAAGGATTAATTGAAATAAATGCTTTGACTTTGACAGTGACTGTGACTTTGACTTTGACTTTAATTGTGGCTTTGACATTGACTTTGACTTTGATATTGACTTTGACTGTGACTTTAACTTTGACTTTGACTTTGATATTGACTGTGACTTTAGTCTGACAGTTTTCACATAAAAGTTTATTAAAATAATATAGTTAGTTTACTTTGATAGCTCGCTAGTTCTTACTAATCAAACATGGCGCTTTTCCAAATGCAAAAAGGCATTTGACCAGCAGCGAGAGATTTTACATCCATATTTATTTATTTACTAGCTTTTACCCGCGGCTTCACTCGCGTCACAAAAGGATAAAAAGCCAATGTGACATATACCAATACACACAGCGCCATCTATACCAATACTTTTGTTTTCCCTCGGGAATATCAAATTTTTTGTTTTAAAGCGACTTTGTTTTATACTATGTATTGATATCAATACATAGTATAAAACAAAGTCGCTTTCGCTGTATGTCCGTATGTATGCTTAGATCTTTAAAACTACGCAACGGATTTTGATGCGGTTTTTTTTAATAGATAGAGTGATTCTTAAGGAAGGTTTGTATGTATATACATATTGCACCCGTGCGAAGCCGGGGCGGGTCGCTAGTTGATATATATAAAAGAAAGTCGTGTTAGTTACACCACTTATAACTCAAGAACGACAGAACAGATTTAGCTAAAAATTGGTATGGAGATAGCTTAGAGCCAGGAGACGGACATAAGATACTTTTATCCCGTTCGAAAAAAAAAAAGTTTAGTTTAGTTTTAGTTTCCGGGAAAAACAGGATTGCGCGTACGAAGTCGCGGGCAGAAGCTAGTATTATATATAAGTAAGGATAGTAAGGATCATCCGACCATAGTTTTTCTCAAAGCTATACCGAGAAGCCAGTACAAGTCAAACATGAAACTACCTTCAGTGCAGGACAAACATTTGCAATGTTTCGCAAACATTTGCGTATACACGTGTTAGGTACTTAGAAAACAAACACGACTTGTACTTGAGCTAGTATACATATCAAGCTATGCAGAACCAGTATAAATTGGCCGTTAAAAGTGCACGAAGGACATACAATACGAGACTAAGATACACTGGACTTTATAACTAGATGTGTCGCTGTGTGACAAGCTGACCAACAATATCACACGCGTTCTATGGCAAACAGTTTAGTTAAAATGTAATTGTTGAGCTAATGCTCGTACGATCCTTCATCATCATCAACAGCCTATAAATGCCCACTACTGAGTAAAGCCTTGAGCATTAATCACCACGCTTGCTCAATGCGGGTTGGCGATTACAAAATTATGCTTATAATTTCTAATTATAAGCATATTGCTATGTATATGGCTAAATATAAGCATTCTAATAAAAGAAATTATAAGCTCAGGTTTCCTCACGATGTTTTCCTTCACCGTTTGTCAGTGGTGTCTGAATAATCTTAGAAAGTAAATATAACTCGGAAAAAGTCACATTGGTAAGTACCAAGAAATTTTTGAAGAACACTCGATTGGAAAACTTCATAAAAATTCGTCCATTATTTTTTATTTTTTTATGTTTTTCGAACCCCCTTATGCATGAGAAGCGGGCGTCTTAAACCTCCGGGCCACCACGACATTTGACGATCCTTAGATATTAAGATAATGATTTTCGTTATGTCTATCTGTTGGTAATAAAATTAATATTAATGGGCGGATTTTTATGAAGTTCATAATAGTTCTATATAATAATAATAATAATAATAATTCTTCAAAGATTTCTTTGAAATTCGAGTATTGATTTGGTACCTTGGATGGAGCTGAAAACTGAAGCTACTTAAAAACAAATTGGAATTGTTGAACTATAGGTACATTTTAATTTTTAAAGTGATAGAATTGTCTCGTG